ATGCTACTTGCAGTCGCTTACTACAACAGTCGCCCTATGTGGCACACACATATCAAGTGTGTATTTAATGCATTAAATGTGGTAAAAAACTACCACATTAATGTATCAAATAACTACATGTCATGTGTGTGCCACATAGAGCAACTGCTACAATGAGTGACTGCAAGTAGCATTACTCAATAATATAACCCCCATTAATTTTACTTTGAGAGGAAAAACCAAAAAATCTCAATCACAAAATTATCAATCAATACAATAAATTAACTCGGAGCTTTGAAGTTGTACTTGGAGATTGGTAGACTGGAGTTGGGCTGCTTGGGCAGAGATCGAAACGGGACGCGGAGCTGGAGTCTCGGATCAATAGAGAAAGGGCAAACGCGAAGCTCAGAGTCTCGGATCGGACGTGATGGATAGTGGACTGGTGAGGTTAGAGGTGTGAGTGACTGTGTGAAAAAGGGACGGCGTCACGGCATGGAGACTCAGAAGGAAGAGGAGTGGATATGGGAATTAGGGATTTGAAGTCTTTCCCCCAATATTTTTTTTTTCCTTTAATTTGAGCAAGAGATTTGGAAGTAAGGTAATTTTAAAATTTGGTCCATTTAAGAAATTAGACTTGAAGTTGACAAATATTAGAGTAAGTGGATAGTAAGCTAATTTTAAATTTGGGCTAAAATATAACTTTTTTAATAAAAAAGTTACAAAACTAAATAAGATAGGGGGCGAGGCTGCACTGGGCTTTTGTACTGGGCTGAAGCCCAGTGCAGCATCCCCTCATATCCGCCCATGCTTATTTCTGAAGTCAATAACGCCATGTGTAAGTAGCACAACCAGAGTGAGATGTTGAATATTTGTCAAAATGTTGCCAGTTTGAGATGACAAGAAGACACGATTGCTCTTGTTGAATGCATCCTCTACATAGGCTAAATGGAAATTTATTATGGGCACTTTGGCATGGTTGTTGAAAGAAAATGCTAATGAGATAAGATGCTTTTTTGGATGCGTTTATATAATATTCTTGAAGTATTTTGTCTAATTAAAGAATTTTTAGAAGAGTCAGGAAAATTATCTCGAATAGGCTTCCAATTGGAAATTAACTTCATTTTTGGGATACAAGAAAACAATGCTATCACAAAAATGGGTTATTTTAGCATCTTTCTCATTTTCCTTGAAAACTCCCTAAATTGTTTTATGCTCACCTCTTCTATTAGCCTAACACCACTATAGAGAGGCTAGCTAACTATTCATATTCGATGTAGGACAATGGCAAGCAAACCCTTTCAATATAAAATATACATGTTTGATTTATATTCTATTGTATAACATTGATTCAATCTCTATTCAATACTGAACTTCGAATATTTAAGTTGATCAAACACCTTTTTTTATCATCACGTTCATATATATATATTATTTACTTATGCATCACTCATTTTTATCTATATATAATTAAAACAAGGAAAATGCTATTTGTACATAGCATTTCCCATAATGCTTCACATAAGAGCCAAGTGGCGCCCCTCCAATGGAGAGGCGCCACTTGCCCCTTATGCGAACCATTATGTATAGTGCTATGTACCCATAGCACTACTCTTAAAACATTATAGTCTACTCCAAATATGTACTTATTTACAATCAAGATCCTCTATGAAAAGTACTTTTTCTTGTGTATGTTTGATTTATAAAGTCGTCATTTATCTACATGTACCTTCCATCAAGCATTACTTATCGAGTAATCATCAACGTCATGCAAGAAACATGCTCTTGTTTAAGTCTATCCTTTAGTTAGGCTAAACGGAGGTCGATTTATGTTATTTCCAACTTAAAATTAACTTATATTGTTGGGGCACGAGTTTTAAGCAAACAATGCTATCATGGGTGATTTGAGTCTCCATCTCTTTCAGTTGTTTAATAGTCGGACTATAAAGAGATTACCTAACTTGTCATATTCGACATAGAATTACTAAAACAATAAGTACTAACGAACCGTCCTTCATGAACATAGAAATAACGTTAAAATGGAACAGATAAATTATAAAGACCTCCCTAAAGTTGATGACAATATCAGAGACACCTCCTCCTTTTTTAAAATTTTAATAACTTCCAACATACAATTTTCATTTTGCACTTCTCTCCTATCCTCTATATTTATTTTCTTAATTTTAATTTAGACTAATTTTAAAACGTTTATATTTTTTTTTATCTTTTTACAAATTGTTATATATATTTCTTCTTAATCTGTGTGAAAATATAAACGAGTCTATTTTTATGGGGAAAGGGGATTATAAAACATCAGAATTGGACAAGAAATAGAATAGTAAACAAAGTAGATATCCATATTCCAATCCAACTTTGTTTTGTTTAGAATTAACGTTGTTGTAAATGAGAGTAACAAGGATTTCCTAGAATGGAGAAGGATTTAAAACGACATAATCTAGAATTTCTATATTTTAAAGATTCTAATTATTTACAAAGATCTTATTGATAACCGACAAAAGGACGCTCGTACGTACCTATATAAAGAGCTCCTCAAGGCCAAAATGCAACGTTCACTGAAGTAGTTCTTAGCTTTTAAGTTGTTTTCTTGAAGGTGTTTCTTAAACATAGCCATGGATTCAAGATTTCTCTTACAGTGTGAAAGGATGAGAGATGAATTTGAAGAGAATTTGCGATTGACTGAAAAAGTAGTTGATGAATCGGATCTTGAAAATATGAGAAAAGAAGACGAAGAGAATTTTCAATTCATCGAAGAAGTAGATGAGACGAGTACGTCGACGAGGGAATTTAAAGTACCACTCGGCTACAGATTTCATCCGACAGCAGTTGAATTAATGGAAGAGTTTCTGATGAAAAAGATCTTAGGACAGCTTACTTGGGACACTATTAAAGAAATTAATTTCTATCGATTAGATCCTCAACAGATTCCAATAAGTAAGTCCGAATCTGCTTATTCTCATGCAAGATAAAGCAGCTTTTCTGGGTTGAAGCTATTCTGTATCTGGAAATCGTGGCTATTTTCCTGTTAACTGAAATCTTTTGTTGAAACTAACAGTTTTAACTTTTAACTTTTAGACTCGTAGCTATTGAATAAGACGAAGCTGCTGCAGGTTAGCAGAGGGCAGTAGTTTGCTCGAAGCGCTACTATTTTCCCTCCTTGCTTTCTTAGTTATAAAAATTCATAATATGTTTGGTATTCTTTAGGGAGTTCAGTTTAGTCTAATCTAACGTGCCAAATATGCACATTAGTCATCCAAATTGGATTCAGGTCATCAAAACCCAACAAAGTCGTACAATTCGCTCATTCGATAACTCCAATTGTTACACTATCTGTACATTAAATTTTCTTGTGTTTTTAGGTGAATTCGAGGCTCTCAAGTATGGGAGAGAGGGCAAAGCATATTATTTCACGAGCGAAGAACAAAAATACGTAGAGGGATCGAGATTAATGCCAAGACCATTTTCTAACGGATATTGGAAAAGATGGGGAAAGGAAGTTCCAATTCATGATGGAACTGAAATTATTGGTTTCAAAAGAAGATTTGTGTGGGAAGAGGCACATAATGTAGAAGAGAGTAATTGGAAGATGACTGAATATAGTGTCACTCCCAGATTCATGGAAGATCTTTCTCAAACCAATGTAAGTTGTTCTCTTTAGAGATTTTTTTTGGCTTAAAAGCATAAAGGGTGTATTTAATTGAAACTTTTAAAAACTTTTTAATTTGAGATTTAAAAAGTTTAGGGGTATTCAATGTAAAAATTTTGAAACTTTTTAAAAGTATTGATGTATTCAATCGAAATTTCTTTAAAAGTCACGGTGTATTCAATTAAAAGTTAAGTCTCTATAAATTTTGGAGTATTTAAATTGTTAATGACTTTTAAATATTTTATAAAAGTTTTAGGGTATTAATTTTTAAGCAGAAAGTACTAAAATAAAATGTCAAAATTTGTCTCTCATTCATCCAAGATTTTGGAGGACTTCCACACAAAAAAAAAAAAAAAAGTTAATATGTGTTTTTTATTTCTTTCAATTTTTCTCTTTCATTTTTCTTTCTATGAACATTGGAGTAATTATTAAAAATTATTTTTTTTCTACTAATCATATTTGTTTCTATTTTTCTCCTCTCTGTCTCTTTTATTTTTTATCTATATTTTCTATGAAAAAAATTAAATTATAACTAAAGATTCTTCTAACTTTTTTCTTTTTTCATCATTTTTTTATGAAAAAATATCTATTTGTAATTAAAATTTATAATACTTTTTATAAAAAAGACTAATTTACAGTTAAATTAAAATATATCGATTTCTTGTTTACTCTTTAAAAGTATGTCATATTGCTAAATATTAAAATTTTATTTATTTTTTATGAAAGAATAATGTAATATTTATATATAATTTTTATTTATTTAATTAAGGTAACTTAAATTTTTAATCTTTTAAAAATATTTTTATTATTGTGGAGGGGAAAGGGAATTGTGCGAATTAGTATCTCATATGTGAGAATTTTACACTGTTATTTTAGATTCAAGTGAATTCCATTTTAAATGAAAGTTTTCAAAAATATTTTGAATTCTACAAAAGTCTATAAAAGTTTTAAAATGAAAGTTTGTAGAAGTCTACGAAAAACTTACATTAATCTTATACAAATCTATAAAAAGTCCACAAAATACAAAGAAGTTATCACTTAAAAAAAAAAAGTTCATAAAAATCTTCAAAAGTTTCAATTGAATACACTTCCCTTAGTCACCAAACTTATAGCACTGTTTAACTTTGTTTCAGTTCAAACACTACAGAAATGGTCTCTTACCCATGGTGAGTAGGATAAGATATAGAGTNAGAGTGTTTGGTAGAGATTAAAATCGGATTAAAATTGAAAAACTAGCCGTTATTGTTGACTTTTATTAGACGGGTGGGACCCAATAACGGCTATATTTTCAATTTTAATTGGATTTTTAGTGTTACCAAACAAGCTCATATTCATCGTTGACATGGCAATGTAAAAAATTGTAAGCTTGCACGCTGATATGACAACAATGTTTTATCTTACCTACCATAGGTTGAAAATCATTTGTGTCAAACACTATGTCACGCTATTTTTTGAATTATTACAGCTGGAAAACTACGTGGTGTGCAAAGTTCGAGACATGAGTAGGTACAAGAAGGATTTCATAACAGAAGAAAGAGTAGAATAGGGACAACAATTCATATTTATTAGCCCCTGTTTGGGCTCTATTTTTTCAAATTATAATGAGAGAAATAATAATTTTTTGGAGACTGTATAATTAAAAAGAAAGCAAATTTTTTTAGATTTACGTATAATATTATTTTATTGAAAAATGTATAATTGATAAAAAGAGAAAAAAAATTAATTTAATGCAGGCCAAACAGAAGCTTGATGAATGCTATAGTCCACGAAAAGGTTTAGACAAAAAGCATTAGGCAATGTTTGATTCCTCTAATTTTCCTTGGTACTATTCACTTGTTTAATTGCAATCCTTCTGGCAATTTTTTTTATATTTTCTTTTATTTATTTTTGAAATGAGAACAAATTTCATAATCAATTATAAAAAAAAAAATTCACTTTAATGAACAATTTCCATGTAAAACGAAGTCAAACGAACACTAAATTTTGATGAAAAAGTTTTCGAGCAAAATTTTTTTTTTTTTACTTTTTGGCAAGGTAACGAGTTTCATAACTAATTGTAAAAAAATATTCACTTTAATGGACAATTTTCATGTNCATAGCCAATTGTAAAAAAAAAAAACAAAAAAAAAATTTAATAGAGAATTTTTTTTGTAAAATAAAGCCAAACGTGAACAAAAAAATCCAAAATTAAAAAAAAAATTCGGGTGGAAAATTATATCAATTAAACACACTTAATTAACAATTCATTGGAAAACAATTTCTAGACAATAACTTTTCTTGTAATTCATTTTATTTCCACCCATTTTCCACCGTTCCAATCAAACGGACCCTAGATTCTTTTGTATTGATTCTTGCAAAACTAGTCTCATCAATGTAATAGAATCTCTATTTATGATTTACTCTATTTATGGCCCCTATACAAATTGCATCTTGGGTCTTCAAGGTTGCAAGAACAATTGCACAATTTTATTTTCAAATTGGTCACATTAATTTTTTCACAACTCAATATAATTCATCATTATAACTACTCTTATATAATTATCTTTTTAAGAGGCGTACGCATGATAAAACACGGTCTACGTAAAACTGACCTCAACTACTAAAGCTAGAGAGAACGTATCAAGCCACAACATATGCTAGTTGTGTTCATCTTGCCTCAACCGATACTGTCTAAGCCAATAGCAATCTGAATCTGTCATACCGTTTGACAAATGAAGGCTAGCTAGTTAACCCTCGTGCCATCCAAGTCGTACAAGCCTGCCTTCATAGCATTTAAGTAGTGTGCACATAACAAGGTCCCTGTAAGTTGATTACGTAATCGATATCTTCTGATCTCTTGGAGACTTACGAACCAATAACAAATGCTAGTTATGAAGTTCATTGAGCAACTCTCGAGCTCATTTGTACAATTATCACTGAACTAGATTGCACGCACCATTTGACACGTCCTAACATGCCATTACGGAATGTTGACGTCCTCTGTAAACAATTTATCCGATGGGCAAATCTTAAAACAACTTATTAGTAGAAGTACCTCTGCTAAATGATGTAGGGGTGTAAATGATTGTGTAATACATGAGGTGTACATGTAGCATCACCCTATTAAAAGAAGTACCTCTGCTAAATGATGTAAAATAATCCAAAACAAGTAAAACCTACTATTCAGAATTCAAGCTTTTTTCCTTTTCCAGAATTTTTCGAATTTCCCCAATCCAAAACGCCGGAAGCATATTTGATGAAGAATGAATATGGATACTTTTAATTTAATTTAGACAATTTATCTATATATTTTATTTTAATTTATAATTATTTTAGTCTTTAATTGATATTAGGACTCTTAACTTTCATAATTTTAATTAGATTGTGATTTTAATTCCATTTAGAGTTAGTCGAAATTTTTAATCTAGTCATTACCTAAAATTAATCATTATCTAGGAGTTAAGTTATTATCCAGATTTTATTTACTTCTTTAAATACGAGTTGTAAGCCTTATGACAATCAATGGAATTGAAATATTAATTGTTGAGATTTTCTCTAATTTTCATAAATTTTTGTATTTGATATTTAAAAATCAATGAGTCCAATTCTTTGTATTCATGCATGACAAACAGTTTGATGCTTAGATTTCATGTATACTTAGAAATATAAATAATTATAATTATAATTATTATTATTATTATTATTCACAGCTCTTCAGCAAAAAACGAATTTGGTCATTAGTAATTTCAATGACCTACCACTCGTGTATGAAAACTTCAACTAGTTGAAAGCCTCCATGCAAAAACAAAACCTCAAGATAGAAAAGACGATAAATAATATATAAAATCGAAGAACGATGATGACCATGTGTCCGCGACATTCAAAGGTACATGAATTTTGAGGTCCGGGAACACCTAGGAAAGGTAAATTGAGATGATGAAGATTGTCTTGGTTAAGATGAATTCCCTTATCAAATTTATTGACTTCGAGTGGTTCCACAAATGATATACAATCTCTTGAATAGTTTAAATCTAAAAGAGACGTGTGGGAATTCATGTAGATATGAATAAGTAAGCCTAAAACTTGTGTGTGCCACTGCTATTTCTTCCTTGAATCCCGCAAGCAGCCATTAGTTTCATATTTTAAAAGTTGCCTTCTATTTGTAATAGAAGTTTGACATCTCAAAAATGACATGACACAAATACTTGGTAAAAGCCTTCGGTTTGAATAGTTAATCTCAAAAGCTAGGTGGTGATGCTCACTTTAGGACTTTTTCTATATTTATCTTTTATGCGCTCATTATTAAATATTTCTTTAGCCGTTTTACAGTGCAATGGTGTAAATTACAAAATTTCTACAATTTTGTTAAATAAATGAGTCATAAGAAAGGAACACACTAGTTTGATGATAGTTCACGAGCAAAGAGAAACAAAAATTATATTCAAACCTATAGTTTGGTCATCAATTCTATCATCTTCAATATTTTACATTCTATAATACTAGGAAGTAAAGGGAGAAATTACAAGGAAAATAAAAATTAAAAAAAATGAATTTATACATTCGACTACACCCGTGACGTGACAACACAAATGTTTAAAAGTTTGTCCAATCTAACTATAAATTTACCAATGCATCGAGGCCAAAGTTGAATAATTTCACACTGCTGCCCTGGATAGCGAACCTTGTCCAATTGCAAAAAGCTTCAAAAACTGGATGGATTTCTTACAATTTTCATGAAGCTTCATCACTTTTCACTGGAGTCCATCTATTCCCTAGAGCAGCATCCTTTCTCGAGCGAGTTACGAATCCAAAAATATACCCTATAAAAGCTCCGAGCATAAGTACACCGGCGCCCATAACATACCATGAAGATGTTGATTCCACCTTGTCCCTCCCTGCAACACCATCACGAGTAACAATGCCATTAAGAACTTGACCCGAAGCCATGATCTCTACCACATCGTGCACCTCTCCATCATGGTTTCCTACATAAGATAATGTGAGCTTATCCTTATTCGCGACAAGTCGAACGTAGCCAAACTCACCACCACGATACAATGACCGAACTGGTTGTGGAAAAATAGGATCAGTCAGGTGGTCTGGCCGTGGCTGCCAGATAGGTTGCCAATCTTGTCCGGCCATCCCAATCACAAGGTGCACGGGGTACGCCTTCCATTCCTCCTCATTAATGCCCAAGCTTCCACACGTGAAGTTGCTTAGAGGACAGAACCGCTCATATCTGTGTACATGACCCCATAATGCAAGTGTCACCTTGTTCTTTACAAGAAGAGGTTCTAGGTGCTCGAGCAACCTGTCTCTCAGTGGGGCATCTCTTGATTCATAGCTGGTCGTGTACATTGGCCTGTGCCCCTGGACGACCACAAAAGGGGTCCTATTTCTATCTACTGATTCCAAGTCATGCTTCAAAAACTCGTACTGTTTGCTACCTTTGAGGAAATTGGTTTCTGTTGAAAAATATACAAAGTGGACTACCCCCATGTCGAATGAGTAGTAAAGGTTCCTTGTATAAGGGGCTCGAGTTCCAGTAGGCTCTGAGAAGTTTCCAGGCATGTGGAATCTGAGACTGTAGGGCACCCCACATTCTCCACCCCCATCTTTCCCATAAATCCCATTGGCCCAGTCGGGCTTCCAAGGCTGTGATGGCCAATCATATTCGTGATTACCGATACATACATGATAGGGGACTTTGGATGCAACAGGTTCAATCTGATAGAAGAAGTTGTCCCACAACCAAGAGTAGCCTCTGGCATAGCTAATGTCTCCAATATGGGAGATCAAGGCGGGCTTGTCGCCAAGCGCTTCAATATCTCGGCTTATCCACTTGACAGTGGATATGCTCTCATCCTGCGTACGGACAAAAGTTGAGTACGGAGTTGCAGTCCCCATGTCCCCAAATAAGAACGCAATCGTTTCACTTGAATCCTCATTTGGTGACACAAAGCTATAAGTTGTGCTCCAACCTCCAGAATCACTACCAACCTGTCATGGTTATGAAGAAAGAGAATCATATTCTTGATTTAAATGGATTAAGAAATAAAATGGCAGAGGATTACGAAACTTGTTCAAGATATTGAAGGAATTATGCACATTGTTCTATCGTACCACTTGACAAAGAAAACTAAGATTATTTCTCTGAGAAAATAAATTAACACTTCGCAGAATGCTAAACAAGTGCCTTTGAAACCCAAGATAATATATTTCTAGATTGACAGATTTTAGAATTAAAGTGTAATCCACAGAGAAAATTTCCCAGAACATGAAGTTCAAAACAATAGCTTTAGATATAAGTGATCAAACAATTAAATTTATCATAGTTTGACAAGATTTAAGGAATACAAGGTACCCTCTCTAACCACTTAGATGAGGAGCCTGGCAAATGAATTGGCAAGTATCCCGTGACCATTTACTAACAATTGTGCAAGAACAAGACCTTCGTTAAAATAATGCATCCAAATAAAAGTCGGGAAGCTTGTAGACGAAATGTTAACAAGTAAGCAACTTGATCAGCTGAATCAACAAGAAGTCACTTAAACAATTTCTTCCCCTTAAGATTTCCAGGAATTTAGCCAGTAAACTCAAAACATAAGTGTAATAATAATTTAACGAGTAAACTCAAGCAGAAGTGTGCTAATGAAACCAAAAAATCATACTTCCCCAAGAAACGACAATACATTGAATCTTAGAGCTACAAAGACATGCCAATAATGAGCAAATTACTAAAAGTTACTAGTTTTTTAGATGAGTTACCTGATAATAATACCTCTTTCCTTTCTGCAAATTAACCATGATCCCATCATGGATAGACCCAGGGTCTCTCCAACCTATACTCTCATTAGCCGGGGCATCACAGAGATCCTCTCTCTCATACCTTTCAACTCGGGTGCTCACTACCCGGTCCATATTCTCCGGGGACAACCCGTATTTCACAAATCTCTCATTCCCATCAGGGGTCACGAACATGACCCGCATCTCCCCCTCCTTACCCGTCAACGCAAGGTGCACCTGCTCAGGACCCCGACCCGGTTCAAACCGGACACGATCCGATTCCGCCAACAGGTGCTTGGTCCCTGGCAGGGGATTGTGATCATGGTCCATGTGCTTCTTATTGACTTCGGTCTCCGGCCAGTGGAAGATCCGGAACTGATAATCCGATCGCAGACTCACCAACGGAAGCGTAATCGAACCCGATCCGGATTCCCATCCCGGCGAGGAAGAAAGGAAAAAATACCCGATGAAATTCTTGTTGGAAGAATTTGCCGGAGAGTATATTCCGAGCCAGTCGAGTTTTCCAGGGGAATCAATACCGGACCATTGGATGGTAACCGAATCACCGGATTTGGAAATGGATTTTGGCGTGACTGTAATCGAAACTTGTGATGATACACTGATTAATTGAATAAAGATAAAGATTAGGATTAATGGGATCATGATCTGTAATCAATATTTTATTTTATTTTATTTTTTCAGATAGTTTGGAGCTTAGATGTGTGATGTTTATAGTCTGTGAGAAGATGGGAAGTGGCGTAGATTGGAAGTCTGTTATTTTTTATGCATATTTATGTTGAATAATGCTACGTGTGTGTACCAATGCATTACACCCCCACACGGAGGAGGAGGGCCACATATATTTTTGTCCAACCTGTTTTCAATAAAATAATTACATTATCCATAAATTTTTCTACTTTTTAATCATTATTTTAAAAAAAGTCATAAAATCTATTCTCATAAATCTAGCAAATAAGGATTACAAAGCACTTAACAATTTTCTAATTACATTGAAGCCCATGTTTGACCCAATTAAAATTATAATTCATTTTCTCTCTCTTCTTATCAACCACACATTATCCAATAAAAATAATATTACATGTAATTTCAAAACGTTTTTTTCTTCTTTAACCACACATTTTTTTAAAAATACTATTCTAACAATTAAAAGTTCAAATAATGAGGGTCAAACGGGGGCTTACATATCTCACATTACTTTTGTGTACATTGTCTCAATTTTGAGTCTTTAAGAAAGAAGTCCGTCAAAAAAAATTTGAAAAAAAAAATCTTAAAATTATTTTCTACCATAGATTAATTTCACAACTTTTTCTCATTTTCAATTATACATTTTTTTAAAAAAATGATTTTTCCTTGGAATAATCTGTGCCGAACAACCTTTAAGCAATTCTGAGATAAATATCTAGTTCGTGTCGGCCAACAAATGTATCAATTCTATTGGGGGTTAAATTCACTAGTGGTCATCCAACTTAATACTTGGTGCCAACATGACCACCAAATTTAATTTTGTTTCACTATGGCCACTCGATTTTAAACTTAATGTCACTATGGCCACCTAATTTGATTTTATTTCACCAAAACTATTCAATTTCATATAACGTTTCACTATGACCACCAAGTTTCATATAATATTTCATCAGGCTACTTAACTTCTTTTTACCATTTTCATTAATTTTAAAAGGGGTAAAACATCAGCTTTACATTATATATATATATAATAAATTTTAAAAAAAGAAACTAAAAAAAACTTATTTAAAAAAAAAAAAAAACTTAAAACGTTTATTTTAAAATAAGTCTTTATCTTATTTTATTTTTCTAAGTAANATAAGTTTTTATTTTAAATTTATTTTTTATATATAATGCAAAGTAATCGTTTTACCTTCTTTAAAATTAATGAAAATTGTAAAAAGAAATTAAGTGGTCATGATGAAATGTTATATGAAATTGGGTGGCCATGATGATACTAAGTATAAAGTTGAGTAGTCATAGTGAAACAAAATCAAATTGGGTAGCCACGGTGACACAAAGTATAAAGTTGTGTGATCATTAGTGAATTTAATCCAATCTATAAGAGATGAAGTGAGTATATTCTTTTTATCAATTTGTAGATAGACGGGGGCATATTCTTCTTAATAATTTTGTTTATGGTTGTAGAAATAAGGTTAGATGTGACAATCAAGTTAAGAAGAGCTCTAGTTTTAGGTTAGGTGAGAAAAGAGACAGATTTTTTGTGAATTGTATTTGTGTTCATACGATTTTGGTACTAATCAATATTAATTCATTCTATTGCTGTTGAATTCACGTTTGAGTCTATTGGTTGATACTTGCGACTTTTAGTGTCAGATTTTTTTTGAATTGTATTTGTGTTCATACGATTTTGGGACTAATCAATATTAATTCATTCTATTTCTGTTTAATTCACGTTTGTGTCTATTGGTTTATACTTGCGACTTTTTTCTATTTTGTCTCGAATAGAAAATATTGAAAAATAAACAAAAAATATATAGATACAAATATATTTCAAATTCTAGGTAGAGAGAGACGTGTAGTTAGCTGTTTTAAGTTCGCTAAATTACAGTTCAAACTCCGTTGGCAATCCGCTTTCAACTTTCGTTGAATATAGATACAATTGGCTTCCAAAGTTTACGTTCTTTTCATAGTCTTTAAGTGTGCTGTAACTTCGGAATTTAAGTGTAAGGCAACAAATTCCATGAGATCGTTTAGAGTTTGATTGCTACGATTTATTTGAAAATTATCTTTCACGAAATTATTTTTAATGAAATTATCGTACATTATTTTTTTTTAAAAAAAATCACTTTTAAAATATACTCTTTTAAGCAAACACTTCAATCTCGCATGCACCCAAATGTACTTGTTTTCTCTTATATTTTCTCGATTCTATTATTGTTGATTGATAAGATTCTTGTTGAGCGTTGTGATTTGAATCGAAATCAATCAAATACAACTCAGAGTGAATTTGCTCACTCAATATTGTCATGCTCGAACTCAAGAAAGTGCTTAAGTACACCAAAGCAAATTCAACTTATTTAAAGTTAAAAGATAACTTGAAACTTGTCACATATACGTAGCGGGAAAACTTGAAATTATTGTTAATATTAATTTGATTCAATATTAGTACATATCTAAAACTTCCAAAAGTATTTAGGTTGTTTTCGTCAAGACCAAAAAGTTTAAGGACTAAATCAGAAAATGCATAATAAAATAAAAAAATTACAAATTTAGGTACTCCGTCACACACGCAGAGGCTCCGAGATCTTACCGTCGGACGCATAAGTACTGGCGTTGTAACACCGATCTTCGGTGGCAAATTAATCAATGGCGACGAAATGCCGTGTATGTTCTTCAGTAATTAATCTTTTCCTCATAGTCCTTTTACTCTTAGACGTCTTTGTTCACTGCAAGACCCTTAAAAGAGATGGTAAGTTTCCGATCCATTCCTTTTTTTTTAATTTCAATTCAGCCCCTTTACTGTATAAAGATTCTAATTTTACAGTTTTATTTACCGTGTTTCTATGAGAAAAAAGGATTAGTAGATGTAGATCCGATACAATGTTACTTCTATTATTGGAAAGATTTTAGATTTATTAGTTCAAATTAAATGCTGATCGTGATTATTTTTTTATTTATTTCATTGTTTGTAATTTACTGATCTGGATAACTTTTAATACTCTGATGAGTTTAATAAATATAAAAGATTTGTTTACTTTTCCTTTAATATAGATATATTAATAATGGGAGTATATTGGTGCTTTATTAAGAGGGATGTTATTGTTAGGTACAATTATTGAAGTATTAAATGCTTGTTTGGTAGTGCTTTTAAGAGCTTATAAGTGGTGGATAATAAGTGGATCTTACTAATTGTAATTGTGTGGATAAAAAAGTATGTTTGACTGGTTTGAATTATAATTTAAGCTTTGCAACATGCTCCAAGTTACTTATACATGGTGCTCTGGGTATATACTTGTCTCTGATAGAGAAGGGGAAAAGAAAGATGCTGAGCATGTTAAAACTTGAAATATGTTTTGTTGTATATATGATTAACACCTGGAGGTCTCATCTGGTGGTTACATGAATGCGATCTCATTTCTGTTGTACTTATTTACTACAATTGAAGATATCTATGAGTTATTTTAATAAAAGACAGAAGAACTCGCAGTAACGATACAAGTGTGCCTGCTTGCTAATACTTTGTGCAGTTAAAAGTTTATCTGAATTTGAAGATTTTATGATTGATTTCAGTGAAGGCGTTAAATGAAATAAAGGCATCATTGGGATGGAGGGTGGTGTATGCATGGGTAGGAGACGATCCTTGTGGAGATGGTGATTTACCCCCATGGTCTGGTGTGACATGCTCCACTGTGAGCGGAGGTGACTATAGAGTGGTCACTGAATTGTGAGTTTCATGTCACTGTTAGTTGTGGTTCAGTTTACTTCTAGTTCCTAACTCATTTTTACATTGTTTTTATAATTGTTATAAAGGGACAGAATTATTTATAATTGAAACGTAATTTGATATGCACATTTTTATTTTCCTTTTTTCTCATTCTTTTTGTTTGACTTGCAGGGAAGTTTATGCAGTTTCTATTGTTGGTCCTTTCCCAATTGCAGTTACCAATCTGATGGATCTTACTAGGCTGTATGATTATTTTTTCACATTTTTTTACATTTTTTTCTTAATACAAGGATTACTTTTCAGACTCTGGACTTGAAACTATTTTTGCTGTCCAGTGGTCTCTTTACTTTTGAGTTTTTTATACACTATAGAACTGGAAAAGGAATTCTAATGACTATATGAAAAATGCTTGATTTAACATGAGTTATGTTTTTCATTATGAACTAGCGATGTATGACAGAAGTGAAAGAGTTACCTCTTATTCATGTTATTAAGGGCAAGCTTCAAGTTGAAGTTCTCTATGAATCATTTATATTCGATCTTGTGGCAGGGATCTACATAATAACAAACTCACAGGGCCAATTCCATCTCAAATTGGGCGGTTGAAGCATCTTAAGATACTGTATGATCTTCTACTGTCTTATCAATTAGTAGTAAGCTTCTAGTTGATATTTATGCATGATTATAGCATTGATTAGTTATTTGAGAGAATAGGTTTTTTCTATAGATTGCATATCTAAAGACACTTCTGCATTAGTTGGATCCTAGAACATCTTATCAATTATCAGTTCAAGGTCATATCATAAATATGGATTTGGGGGCATTTGTACCTACCAAATTTATCGAAATATACACTTATAAACTGGCACGCAAGCTCGTATGCATGTCAGGACTTCGTATGTATAGCATATTTACAGTAATAAAATAGTGACGATCTTGTATTGAGGCAGTTATATGCTGATGTGTTGAGAATATCTGCTGACCTAGTGGCCACCTTTCTTACTTAGGAAGTCTATACATCCCAGGAATTTTTGGATGAATTAAAATGGAAAAGTGAAATGGGTGCCAGATGTAATACTATTTATTTGAAATGGATGTTCAATTTTATCAAAATAATTATAAAACAAATCGATTCAACCTCTGATAAAAAAAGATATACCTTGGAATTAGTAAAAGCAATGTCTCCTTGCATAATATGGATTCCAAACATTCATGATCTAGATGTGAATGAGTCGAAACATATTTGCCATGATTTTTATGTTAATGACCTCACGCTTGTTTTCCAAGTATCAGGTCTAAAGTAAATGTTTTTGCCTTTTGGGGTCATATAGGCGACCTAGCTTATGCTTGATTCTGCTCTACTCGTTTGCAGTTTCTTCCATTAGCAGTAAACTTAAATGTTTTTCTTTTGATAAATCTTCACAAGCCCTTTTTTTGTTCCACAAAAATTACTAGTGCATTATAACTAATCTTTTCTCTTCCCAGGAACAAGGAGCTGAATATCTATCATAGAATATAGTCGACCCCTATATGATTTTTTAAGGATAACTTTAATGGGAAGAAAAGATGTTTTGTAACAATTTTTTCATTTTTTTGCGTTCTTTATTTCATATCACATACATGCTTGTCAAAATTTGCGCATTCTGTAAGAATTGTCTTGGAAGTTTTTAAAAAAATGATAGCAGGGGATTGAAAATAGAATGGACGATATCATCGTTCATTTTAACTTAAAAATATCCTGGTTTTTCAGCTTCATTTATACATGTTTTGTATTACCATCTCTTTCATTTTTGAAGAGTTCAAAGTGTAAAATAAACCACCTTGTTGAATGCAAAACCCGGAAGTTTTAAACCTAATCTGAGCATTTGCATTTTCTGCCTTTTTTTTATTCTGTGTAACTTATGCCTTCTTCTCATTTTATGTTTTTCCTTTTATCTCCTCAGTAATTTGAGGTGGAACAAGCTGCAAGATGCCGTTCCTCCTGAAATTGGTGAACTAAAGCAGCTAACTCATCTGTGAGTATATTCATATTCTGAGATTAATTTCTTTACTTCAAATTCTCTCTGTACCTTTTAACAATATTGCATGAAACCACTGCAGCTACCTGAGTTTTAATAATTTCAAAGGTGAAATCCCAAAGGAGCTTGCAAATCTTCCTGAACTCCGTTATCTCCAACTTCATGAAAATCGTTTGACAGGGAAAATTCCACCTGAATTGGGAAATTTGCAAAATCTGCAATACTTGTAATATTCTCTCTCGACCTTGTAGGGCGTGCTCTCTGATTCCCTTTTCAGTTTAGCTAACTGGGTTTGCATGTATTTCAAGGGATGTTGGAAACAATCATTTGGTTGGGACTATAAGGGAACTCATACATATTGAAGGATGCTTCCCAGCTCTACGTAACATGTATGCTGATTTATTTTAATGGACTCTGATTTTTTTGTGCTCATTTAAATAATTAAGGACTAACTATAAGACTTTTCTTTGTATTTTTTTAATTTCAGGTATCTTAATAACAATTATTTTACTGGAGGCATTCCAGCACAGCTTGCAAATTTGACTAACTTAGAGATCTTGTAAGTTTATGTATTAATAAAAGGGAATTTTGAGCTGTTTGTTGCTTGATCTGTTACTATTTTATATTGTGATTTATGAATTTAATTGCTTGTGCTGTTCACAGATATTTATCCTACAACAAAATGTCTGGAATTGTACCATTTGCGCTTGCTCGCATTCCTAGGTTGACTTACCTGTGAGTTTGCTTCTCAGTATCTTTCTTGTGTTAGTTTATGCAATTGTTGAAACTACCGTGAGATAGTAAAAGCGTGTAGCAAATCTTTTGTACTTTGGAAGATGCACCATTTTTCATCTACATGAGGTTCCTTTTAGTATGTGGTGCTGTCGGTTCAATTTCAATTTTTGTTAACCTGAGGGGTTCAGAACTTTGGTGCAATTAGGTACCAGTAACAACTGAAACTGGAATGAGATTTGTTAAACCGAGCTCAGGTTCTTTGTTTGTGAACTTTGCTAGCTCCTTTTACGATCTTTTACAGACCTGGCAAGACCCAAGAGCTGTGTTGTTAAGTTTCTTGACCTCCTAGAGCATGCTTGTTACACTTGACACTACAATCAACAAGATTTTAACTTATTTTTAAGTTATAATAGTGGCCACACCGTCCAGTTTACTTTACCAATAAGTAATAAAACCATTAGTCCTCAAGAGTCAGTATTATGGTATGCTAACAGTTTACTCGACTGTACAGGTTGAAGCTTTTTCTGTTACTTAAGTTGTTTCTATGTTTCAGGTATCTGGATCACAACCAATTTTCAGGGAGGATTCCCGATGCCTTTTACAAGCACCGGTTCTTAAAAGAAATGTGAGTTTGGCTTCATTTAATTCCTCGTGACTCATATATCTCTAGGTTAACTTCTATAATTTACATACACAGGTACATTGAAGGAAATTCATTCCGGCCTGGTGTGAACCCAATTGGCATCCACCAAGTCCTAGAACTCTCCGACTCAGAGTTTATAGTCTAGATAAAAGAATCAACTCAAGTTTTGATTTTTAGTGGAAGTACTTATTTATTTATTTATTGCCGAAAGAAATCCATCAACCACGATTATCACACAAAGCGTAGCAGATAATGAAAGCGTGGTTGAGTTCTTAGGCTTTTAAGTTGCATGAACTGTATATAAGAATTTATTTTTTGCCTTTTATATTTTACCCACAGTTACTATTACCTCGTCTAAAAGTTGCAAGCACGATTAATTTAACGCGGATTTGTCTAATAGTTTTAGCTATTATTCAGCAACTTCGAATATCTGTCTTTAATGTTATCATCTGATAATCAGTAACCACTGTCAGATCTCTACGAGATTTTATGGTGCAAGAGAGGAAAATAAAGAAGAAAGCAGCAGTACAAGAGATGGAAAAATACATCATCAAAAATTACAATCCTTCAGAGATGAACCAAAATAGAATATGGCGCACCTATAGAACGGCGTGTTTGTATTTGATACTTGTGTCTACAAAATCAGGATTCCACACATGAAAATCAACTACTATGGATCAGAAAACAGTTGGCTATGCGCCTTCTTTTAAAAAAAACACCAAGGGGCCATTCTCTTTGCCGTTTTCATCCCGTTTTCTGTTTTTGATTTTTCAAAAATAGTGAAAACACGTTTACTTATCTATTTTCAAAAACGAGTTTAAAATTTACAAAGAAAATCGAAAACGTCAAAAATGTCGTTTTTGGTGTTTTCAGTTAAAACCAAACTAAAATTTTCAAAACGTGTTTTGGTTGTTTTCAGTTACGCGACAAACAAAAACCACCACTATCGCCGTCTACACACACCACCTGCACCACGCCACCGTCGTCACCAAAAGTGGCCGGATCTCTACCCGGTTTCCTTCACTTGGGACCAAAAGTCGGAGCACTTCGCAGTCGGTTTCTCCAGCAGAAAAAACTCATCTCAATCTTTGACCCGGTGTTGCAGCTTCCCTTTTCTCAGACGACTCCCTTCATGAAAACTCCTCCTTCTTTGGCATTGCCTTAGACCGCCGCCACCATCGCCTCCTCGTCGTTTTTCACCGCCCTTCCACCCCATCCTTCAGCGCCCTCGCCTCCTACCACGTGAACCTTCAATCAACTCTTCCTCACCCGGCTCCCAAACTCCATCGTTCCAAATGACGTCGCAGTCGATTTCTTTGGGAAAGTGACGAAGTGGCCTCAATTCTGTCAAGATCTCAGGCATATCACAATTTCGGGTTAAACGGCGTCGTTTATAACTCCAAGGGTTATCTGCTAGTGGTGCAGTCAAACGCCAAGAAGAGGAGAGAGAGAGCACATTTTTCAATTTTGGGTTTTTGAAAATAATTTTTCAAAATGACAAAAAGAACACATTTTCAGCAATCTCAAAATGGATACTCAAAACACAACGAAAAACTGAAACACGAAGAGATTAGCCCCTAACTTTCTCTGATATCAAAACCACCACCACGGTCCACTAACAAACCTGAAGAGGATGTGCTGTCGAAGAAGGGCGGTGCAGTCACCAGACCAGCTACACCGTCTTTCAAGAAAACACCAACCTTTTTTCTGTTGACAAACCAACCACCGGTATCCAACTTAAAGAGGCAATGACGCCCAAGAACGTCGCCACCAGAAAGACCAACATTTCTAGCTCCGCTACAGCTACCTGTGGTTCAAGAAACTGAAGCATATGCATGGCCAGCATGGGAAATATGAGAGATGGCTAGTATTGAACAACGATATATAAAGCTTTTCTTGCTTTAACGACGGGCCAATTTTGAATAAATATTAATGAGAAAAACTTGCATAAAAGTTAATGATCTGCTTTTTAAGCTACATCAAACAAACATGGGAGCCTCAATTCATGCAAACATTTTTCATATTTAGTTCTATTTTATTTTTTTCACTAGAATGCACAGAAAAGAAAGAAAAAAAAGGAGCTTGTAGACAGGGACGGAGGCACGGAGCTAGGATAGAAAATTAGTGGGGATAATTTTCACAAAATTTTAATTGTAGGATCAAAAATTGAAAATTATAAGTTTTTTTTATTCTTTATAAAATCATGAAAACATCTTGAACAAAATTTGAAATTTAATGTAGAGGCATCAAACCCCACTGTCCCCACATTAAATTCGTCCCTACTTGTAGAGGCTTGCTTAAGCCTCTACAAGGAACACATTTCGACTTTGGATCCCAGCCAATTGCGGTTCAAATAACATCATGTCCAAATTTTGTGTTTTTCTTATTTCTAAATAGTAGTTTTAAATATCAAAAATTTGTTTCTTAAATGTGCTTTTTATATCCATCTTCGAATAACTTCCATAGCAAACCTTCGACGCATAAGAAAAAAAAAGACTAGTTTTAGGAAACCAGCGAATTACACCTTAACTTATGCTCAATCACCTGTCGCGTAGTTATATATAATTTATGTCGCGGAAGTTTGCTCCAAGAATTGTCAAAACGGTAACTTTTGGAATCAATTTCACGTTATATTTCTCAACCAAACAACCAATTCAGAGGGCTAAAACCTACAACTAATATATTCACCTCGATTGCTCCTCAATCTCACCCACGAAAGATAAGATAACAGTGATGATTTATAGCCATAAAAACAAAAATAAAACCAATGAAAGACACAAAAAGAGGCAAAAAAAACACCAAAGGAAGTCACTTGTTTTTCAGCAAGAAGGCAGCCGATTTTTGCTCCCTCAAGGCGCACACGTTTTACGACTAGAGTAAAGACACCATACATATAGGTTAAGTTTTAATTAGACCAATAAAAGGTTAAATTGGTCAAAATTCAAAATCATATATATATATGGGCTGTGAGGAAATATATGGGATGTGACAACATTAATTCTTTAAGCTACTTTCAACGGCCCAATTGTTTAAGAATTGAGCATTTGGACTTTGTTGTTGGTAACAATTTAATCCAACATTTACATCATAACTCATGATTTACTAGGTATCAAAACCCAACAAATCTCTACCTTGATACTCAATCTACATGCAAGCAATCAAAACACAGTTAATGCTAGCACAAGCTATGTTACCCCCACACGGTAACCTCAATCCTAACGTCACCCCCACGCGATAACGCGTTAATGCTAAAATTTAAATTGAGATAAGCCAATATACCAGAGCGGACCAATCTGAGTCTGTAAATACCGAGAAATACGAATTTATCACTTAGGATCACCACTATTCGTCCTAAAGTCTCCAACAATCGCAAAAATCAATCAACCACGATCGAATCCCGAACGCGCGAAGAATAAATCCGTCTGATTCCACTTTATAACTTGAATCGAAAAACTAACACCACCAAAATATCAGAAATGATGTTAGGAACAAACTACCTAAAGACGCAATCGTAAAAAACCTCCGAACGTGACGCAAGAGTCCTCTACGCGTGGTCCCACTCACCGCCGCCACGCGCCGTGGTCTCCATTCACGAAACTCCCGGATCGGCCAAAAATCACGAAAACATGTCCAGTTTTCCGACAGTTTTTCGATCTATTTTTCTGCCTCGTTTCTTCGACTTTTTTGATCGATTTTTGGTTAGTTTTTCGAGCCAAATCCATCACCTTGAAGTTCTGACACCAACTGTCGACCAAGCTTGCTCCAAAGGTTGTCAAAACGGTGATTTTCAGTTTCACATTACCTTTTTTCTACCAAACAATCAATCCAAACGGCTCCAACTTACACCCAATATATTTACCTCGATTGCTCCTCAATCTCACCCACAAAAGACAAAATAACGGTGATGATTTGTAACCACAAAGGCAAGAAGAAAACTACTGAAAAAGACACAAAAGAGGCCAAAAAACACCAAAGGAAGTCACCGATTTTTCAACAAGAAGGCAGTCGATTTTTGCACTCTCAAAGCGCCCACGTTTTTCTCCTTCCAAACACACAAATCACACACTTTATGACTAGGGTAAAGACACCATATATATAGGTTATGTTAGGCTTTAGTTGGACCAATAAAAGGTTAAATGAGCCAAGATTCAAAGTCATTCAATATGTAATATATATAGACTGTAAGCAACATTAATTCTTTAAGCTACTTCCAACGGTCCATATTGTTTGGTAACGATTACGTTTACATCATAGTTCAAGATTCATTGAATATCAAAACCCAACAGTTGATGAGCTTAATCGAACTTCCGGGAAGAGGGAGAATGAAAATTCCAAAGCTAGATCAAATGCCACGAGCTCAAAACCACAAAACAGCTCTGTTCTTTCCCTTTTTTTTTTTAATAGGGAATTTGAAGCTTTCAATGCCAAACTCCGATGCCTATCTTGGTTGGACCAACCCAACCAGATATAGATTCAAATTTTCTTCATTATTGAAATAAAATAAAGCAACAAGATTGAAGCCTATAAACATTATAGCTTGGAAACCAACTCTTAATAGCCCGGAATTGGTTATTCTACTCTATTGTTTTTTTGGTAGGACCATTCTAGCTTGGAAACCAACTCAAGGCACCAGTTAAGTTGAACCTACTTATAATAAAACATTCCACGTGTTTCAGCTCTCTAAGAATACAAATGCACATCTTTAAAACAATGTTGCACGAAGAAGAAATCAGACAGAATCACACGAAGTGTTGAATTATGAGCTACAATGACATTTACAAAGACAAATAGCTCGAGAAAACACGATCTCATTCCTGAATATCCTAAAACAAGTTCTTTCGCTGTCTAATTTCCCTCCATGAATTCCGATTCAATAAATTTAACGCCTTTTCCATTATTAGGTTATTGCAACAGTAGGAGGATTACCTGCAGGGCATCTTTGTCGGCGGGGACGTCTAGTTGTCTTCCCCCATCCTGTTATGCTTCTATCCTCCAAACCAGCTTCAATATTATTAAGTTGCTGCATCAATGAATTGCAAACTGGGGTGGGAATAGTTGGGGTTGTTTCAACCACTGTCCGTTGCCTCACCCGAGCACCCCCGTTTCTAGTGCTATTCCTTCTCATCAACCCAGAATTCCAGGGATGCCCGGTAGCTCTCATCAGGCCTCCAAATGTCTGAAGATCCTCGGTCACCTCGTGTCTGGACAACGATGTCAGACCAGGAAGAATGTCCCTTTGGAAGTCCCTCCGCTGCCTTCCTCTCCTCGGGGGACCCCTTCGAGATCTATTTGGTAACGAATCAGGTACTATTTCTTCCATCTTTTTGACTTCTGGAACAAAGGGTTTAGGCATGTAGTATTCTTTCATCTCTGTCAGTTGCAATGTCATGGCCTCAAAATCATCCATCTCCTCAAAGAGATCCCGAATTGATGCACCATTCCTGCATCTCGATTCTTTGCCCTTGAGTTTATCTGCATGTGTCGAAATAACGTCAACAAACCAGAGCAGGGGTTCTGCGAACAAAGCATCCGGTGGACAGAATATGATATCCGCTGCTAGGATTTTCTGACTGGAAGATGAGATAGCAATTATAGTCTGTGCTGCATTTCTTACAATTTCATCCTGTATTTGTTTGGCTCTATGTTCGGAAGATAGCAAGGATGCCTGAACCTGTATATTTTCTCTGGACGGTGCATTATCATCCTCAATCTCCAGAATTACTGGAGCTTCCAGATCTATTTCGACTGATGTCTTTGTAATGGCACTGTTGCTTGGAACAGAGGATACCGGTGGATCTTCATCATCATTTATACAAGAGTTCAAGTCGATAAGATTTCTAGTACAGTTACCTTTTGTATATATTTCCTTCTCTATAATCAGTTCCGCTGCTATCTGCTCATCCGACTCACAAGCTACATTAATATCAATTATTCCATTTCTTCTTTTATTTTTGGAAATTTTACCTTCAGAAGGGAGAATACCCGAGGTGGAAACATGGGATGCTGGCTCATTTTTATGAACACTCGGAAATTCAAAAATGGGAAACCCCAGAATTTTCTTAATATTCCGAGTCTCGTGTATGGTCACAACCTCACAATCACTTGAAGCTGATATGGCATTTGGGGGAAATGTTTGGTTAAGATCTCTCACTGTTTCGCTCTTACAACACGGGGGATTAGAAGAAGCTTGAACGTATGCCAAACTTCCCGAGAGTTCTGAACTCCTAGCACCGGTGGCAGCCTCATTTCTATAGGAGGGCTTCGGTTTTAGCCAAGGCCATGTTGACAGATCAGCATGCTTACTTTTTTCATCCATCTTATTGAGATCTTGCAGACAAGATGTCACAATTGATGAGCTCTTCAAAACTACCTCATTCAAGTCAATATCTACGGCACACTTCCTATCCACATGCGAAGAGCCCTTCAGAAACTTCTCATATCCATGATTAGCGGAATGGTCAGATGCTACATTATCACCCTTGCTGCGGTTAAAATAATCAATGGCATCTGATGGCAAGTGAATTCGTAGTTCTTTGGATCCAGAGACAGGCCCATGGTAAAATCCATTCTGGGATGTTACATCACTTCCCAAGTTCAGGTTCAACCTAGAGCTAGCATTGACTTTCCACTTGTCTCCAAAGGTTTCTTGGCTTGTTGAAGCAGAATTTATAGATGTTGGCAATGAGGTTATCTTTTGAATAAAGCAACTTGTGGGCTTTGCAGAAGACGAATGGAAGTGAGACCACGAATCAGCAAAACCAGAAAATGAGGATGGACCAGGAATCCGAGATGCAACAACTGGTTCTGAATGGTTATTATTGGAGTGATCATGACTTCTCTCTCTCCACAAATCTTCCCTACTGTGACCAGTTGGGCATTTTCCAGGAGGATGACAAACCTGGCTAAGCATGACGTCTGCCGGCTGGGAAGGTATATGCAGGTTCTCTTTCGGGAGACCTTGAAGTGCAGAAGTCGGATTACTTTTACTGGATCCTGTAAAAGAATTGAGTAGTTCGAAAAACCATTAGAATCCATAAAAAGGAACAGACGTAAAGAAAAAGTTAAAGAGTCAGTAACGTCTACAACCAGATTGAAGTATTGTGATTTTACATAATTCTCTCACACAAAACATGCTTTCTGGAAATGTTGAGATTGGTAATAGGTCCTTTGAAATCAATTTCTGAAGCATATACTGCCAATTAAGTTGAGAGTTTACATTCTACGCAAAGAATAATAACTAAGCGTTGTTCCAATAAATTTGAAGTTGGCCACGTCAATCCTTTTCCACCACTTTGTTCAGTTGACGTACAAAATCTAAAGCAATTAGATGTTTAGCAACTACCATAGGCCATGTTATTTTCTATCTAGCCCTCCCTGCTATGACTGATGAGCTAAGATTGTATCACCTGCACGAATGAGATCCTCTTTAGCTATACGCAAAACATGTCCTAACCACCTAAATCGATCTTCCCTTATTTTACCTCAATCAATGCTACTTCCTCTTGTTGGCATATAATCTCATTTCTTATCTTATTCATTTTAGCATGACCAAGACATCCATCTTAGTATTCTTATTTATCAGACATTCTATGGGCATTTTGTCCTTCAATGGCCGAGCACTCATAACCACAACACAATTGATCATCTCATTTTGTGATGAAAATGGGCTTTTAAGCTCGAGGGAAAATTCTTATCACACAGAACAAGCTAAGAATTTAATTAACAAAAGCTCAAAGCTGAGATAGAGTTAAATTAAAAATAAACTGATGAATTTTATGCAACGTTATTAACACTATTTACCTGCTTCATGTACATGATTGAGCCACCCCCTCTCTTTGACTTCACTCCCGATTGATGAATTTATCAAAGATCTGTTATGGCTATATATGGTTTCTCCCAGTACACGTACAAACCCTGCACTTGGTTTAGCCGACAGATCTACACCTTTAGTCTCTCCGACATTTGAAGTACAGCCAAGAAAATCAGTAGAAGATGGAGGCATTACTTCTTCAATGGGAATGGGTTCGTTTAGATCAGCTAGACCAATAGATCTCCTCAAACAAGAATTTGAAGCCGAGGCATCTCCACTGATGAAAAACTTACTGCTATTGGTGGCAACTTTTTGAACTCCATTAGGTGTACAACTCAAAATTCCAGATGCTTTCCTGTCCTGTATGCATTCCTCATCTTCAGTATCAACATACTGATCAGCTGGAAGTTGGAGATCGAACAACTTCTTCCTCACCTTAGAGGGTCTCAAATCCAGTGCTTCGGTCTCCTTTGAAGAACACCCGTGATGGAACAGGATGTGTCCAGTGTGCTTGTTATTCTCGTTTGTACAACTCAAAGGAGAATTAACAATTTCAACTCCCGAGACAGATGTTCTACCATGACCAGAATGCAACAAAGGAAAGCCCGTCATTTGCTGTTTTCGAGCATCTTCTGATGGTATTTGAGATCCATGTAGACTCGATGACGACGATGATGGTTCCATCATTGTCTGATGTTTACATAGTTCATTCTTTTTTATTTCTTCCATCATGTTCCTTTGAGTTCTGTAAAGGCGATGGAGTTCATAAACCTGGATGACAGCAAAGATTCCACTAATCAAGCTTCTGTTACATTACTGAACTTTTAACTGACAGAACGGGTAAACTCTACATAGAGCATGTTTGGCTAAGCTTAAAAAGGGCAAGTTTTTATACTGAAAATCCAAAAATAAAGTAACTTTTTTAAAACTTCAAACATGTTTAGCAAAATATAATTGAACCAGCTGTGTGTTTTAGATCAACAGACGAATTAGCAAAATTAACCCAAGTACCTGATTCTTGAAAATTGCTTCATGTTCAAGTATTTTCTGCTTTAATGCATCCTTATCATACCCCAGATACCCGTCTGTTACAGTCCTCTGCATAAACAAATTGTAACACTGCCCAATTGTTAAGGGCTTGTCTCCATAAAATAGGGGCCAGCTACTGCTGTTAGAATCCTCGTTAAGATCCCTCATGGAAGAATACCCTGGGAAGTAGCTTTTGCAGTGCACTTTCATTGCCATTCCTGAAGAGGATATTCGAGTGAGAAAAATAAATCCTAAAGTCCCGAAAACAATGTGAAATAGTTTGCTCTTTCTTTTCACATACCTGTATTTATTTTCCTCCACTTTTCCAATTAAACAGGTTATTTGAAGGTAACTTATGTTTTATCACTTAGCATAAACATCGAAGATAATTCATAAGAAAATAACAAATTAAGCCCAATTCCCATTTTTTATGAAGAAAAGAGCACGGAATGAACACTTGTACTAGTGGTAATAAAAAGAATAATCTTCTTTCTTTTCCATCGAAAATAAACGAGGCAGAGACGTTTTCTCTTATCAGACAACTGAGATCTATGTCAATACAACTCTTCTAAATGTATTTATGCTAATGTATCGGAGATTTGACAACCTAGCATAACTGCACCCGACACCAGAACGCGAATCCAAGATTAACTATGATAAGTTATATCGAAGTGTGGCTACTTAATTGTTTCTTATCAAATAGCTGATGCATTTAAGACCCATATATTGCTTACCAAGTATATAATAATTATTTCACGAGAGCAACTATCATATACATCGTGAGAAAAACCAAGAAAACAACATTTTCCAAGTAAGATATTGAAAATCTAGTGACTGCTTCAATGGACGTTCTATTTGATTAACACTGAGATGTTGGATCTACGAGTCAAGGAGACATATGTTATAAGCGCCTAACAGAACCAAACTTCGAAGATTCGCCTTCACCGGAAAATCACTTTCTTACTTATTCTATCACAACAAAGTAACGAAAATGTCTCTTATTTTCCGGTAAGACACTCCAGCCAACAGCATTACTCCCTATGAATGTACAGATCCCAATATGTAAGTTGAGTCGATTGTTTGCCTCGAGAAGTAAAACCAAATTATAGTAGCAACATGTCATGCTTATACCAATATAGAGACAACACATCAAGAAACTTTTGAATGGATTATAAAATGGAAGAGCTAGATCAAAATTAATACGGCCGCACATAGTAGTATGATAAAAGAATGATCTGGTTGTAATTTTGGAAGTTTCATAAAAATGGGCCAAATTTAGCTTGCACAAAAGGGAATTCTAGACATGAATACAGTTCAACTAATACTATTAGAACCGGAACAAGGTGGCAATAATTTAACATATGCTACAGAAAAACGAATCACCAGTAGCTTAAATACAAGGAAAATATTTAGATTATTTTTTGCTTTGCAAGATTGAATTCAGGTAAAAACAGATTCTTTATAGGAATTGTCACTCGTCAAATCCAAGAACCCATCACAAAAAATGAAGAACGTCCCAATTAAATTCGCTGCTATATTTAATAAATCAAATGTACTTCCAATCATCCTAGACAATGGAACTAATAATCTGAAAAACCCAAAATAAGTCATTTTGAGGCGAGTTATGATTCAGTTTCTCAGATAATTAATCATACCTGAAATAGAAAAACTATATTTTTCTGTTTTTTTCCAATTCGTGGTCAAAATCTAATAAATCTTAAAAACCAAGAAAGTTAATAAAAACAATAATTACCTCAGACCCACATCCTGGAATCACAGCTTCTCAACAAACCCTCATGGATTGAATCGTAGTGAGTCTCACAGTAATTAAGAGCTTATAAAAATGTGAATTTAAGGTTTTTTCACTCAATATCACCAAATAAACCAAGAAAAAAGACAACAAACGATTAAAAAACTGTCAAATGAAAATAAGTAAACAAAAAAAGGTGAATGGCTTGGAAATTTCATTGAAGAAGCTCAGATCCTCGTCAAACTCAACTAAAGATTGCAGATTTTGATCTGCTGGGCCACTCTCTCTCCAAAAAGGAAGTACCTCTAGAGAGAGAAATGAGAAAATACAGGAAGAAAGAATTTATGCAAGTGTATATAACTATTACTGTTATTGTCTATAGAGAGAGAGAGCTAAGAAATCTTCAGAACAAACGAACAGTGACATCAAAATTTGTCAACATCCGGTCTCTTTTCATTCTCTTCTCTCTCTCTCTCTCTCTCTCTTCTATATATATATATATATACATATGGGATTTCTTTTTGCTGTACTGTAATAATTTCTTCGATTTTGAGAAAATGAAAATAAATGGGCTTCTCGATTCTCTCTACGACTCTACCTGTGTTATGCCAGGAGATTTTGCTAGGTTTTATATGGATACTCATTGACAAGTAAAAAAAAATGCCAATAAAGGGCTGCCATTTCAACCATATAAACTGTCCTTTCATGTACAAGGGGCTTATTCCTTTATATTGACGTCTAATTGTTCGTTTGAATGTTAGATAAATCAAATTAATTGATTTAGTGGTTATTTGGTGATGATTAAAATTAGATTTTCAGTAAATTGTGATAGAAGTTCTTGAAATGTGTGATTAAAAAGTTGTGGGGCTGATGAAATATGTGATTAATATTAATTATTTGACTTTAACTTATATTAAAATCTGATTTTAATCCGAAACAAATAGAGCCTAAAAAAAGATAAAGAATTCATGATAGGAAGTTGAATAGAGTCAAATCTAAGTATGAAAAAAGTTCAAAGTGATGCGGCCGATTAACAAGTAAAACGGTGTCGAATCTTAACCCGTGCTTCACATTCATTAAATTAAATTTTTTTGAAAAAGGTGTAGTTAAAAAGTATGAAAAAATTTCGAATTTACGTGTAAAATATTTTATTTTTTGAATGTATAATTAAAAATAAGTATAAAAAATAAAGAATTTTAATTTTAAACTTAATTTTACTTTAAAGTACACAACTAAGCTAGTTTTTAGACTTGAAAGAAAACTAATATCTTATTTGGAGGAATTATTAAAATATCTCCCAAGTCTTAATCTGCTATATTAAGTAGGGTTTTGTTAATATTTGACAGGCAAGATGTGGGTCCCAATACTGACAATGGGTAGGATAAGGTTTCTTTGTAACAATTATTTTTTAAAAAATATATAGCTGAAAAATGGGGAAAAATTGTTATTTATGTATAATATTATTTTATTGAAAAATGTGTAGTTGAAAAGAAAAATGTATTTTTAAAAAAATGAAGTCCAAATGTAGGCTAGGTTTTATTTATGAAATTATTATTAAAGTTGTATATCTTGTCAGAAAATTTTGAAAAGTTATTTTGTGAAAAATATCTTTTTAAAGAAAAATTATTTTGAACAAGCTATTTCATATGCAAGTCGGTCATTTCTTATCGAAGACCAATTGTACACAAATTTATAGATGATAACAACTATGTGATATAACACAACGATGTAATATCGCTATCAGAATTCAATTCTTATTTCTCTCTACTTATGTACAAAAGAAGTTAGTTGCATACTATAAAATCACAAGCACGAGTGTGATACTGAAAAATATAATTATGCATTCTTAGAATCTACTTTATACGACAATAAGAATAACTGACATTCTTAGGGAAAAAAAGTAACTTGTTTATCGATACATGCTATATATTTTTTCCCAATAACGTGATATGACAGTACCCTTCTACCTACCTCGCGGATAATGTAAATTAAATTTCACCATTTTGCAATGTTCTCTTATGTTTGAGATATCACTGTATGTGTCATATCTAATCGTAGGAATGTACTTATAGTTATAATAAAACCCGTGAATTAAATAAAACTGGTGTAATGAATCTATTAGTTACTCTCCATTAGAGTTTGGTAATGTATCGCCTTAATATTAAATGATTTGATTGACATTATAACAAATCTTATTAAATTCCTCAACCACTTGTTGCTAAAATGATGTGTCTCGCCACTTAAGAAGTCCAGACTTGTGCCTCTATAGAATTGACTTGGTGAAAATGAATAATTCTGGATTTTTTTTTCTCTTGATAGTTAATTTATTGTGAACTTTAGACTTCGAAAATCAAAAGATGTGGTCTGAACACATGTAGTCTGTCATTGTCACGTGAAATGTGTTCGAAGTTACCAATTAGTGGAAAATCTTGATCAAAGATTCATTGATTAATTTGATTTAAGGTTTTGTCTTCAGTCTTGACATATTCTTTAGTCAGTCCACGTGGATGAATGTTGATAAGGGAACAAAAGCCTGCTTCTACTAAAAACTTATGATCCTGCTACACTAATTAATCAATTGGTGAGCCACACACTAATTAGAGTGAGCTGTAAAAATCACAGTCCACTAATGACTGTAAGTAATTAATTAGTGGACTACATACTAATTAAAGTGTGCTGTAAGAATTACAGCACACTAATGATTGTACAAACATCATTTCTGAAAAACTTACAGGTTTTCTTTACCAAAATTATTTGCCATGTGCTGTAAGAATTACAGCACACTAATGATTGTACAAACATCATTTCTGAAAAACTTACACGTTTTCTTTACCAAAATTATTTGCCAGCAATTCAAAATAAAAATAATACTATGCATCATCAACTTAAGTTGCAGTGGATCCTTCATTCATTGTTCAGTAAATGATTCATTGATAACAAATAAAGTTACTCTTATAAATATAGACAATTATATGCATTAAATAACATTGAATTAGAATAAAGAGGGACTTGTTTGGTGTACACATTTTCATAGAACTAAACAACACTAAATAAAAAAATGTGATAGTAGTATCCTAATAGCATTACATTATCACTGTTAACATGTCATGACACTATTTTCATCGTTGTCTGTACGCATATCACATTATCTACATTATTATTCAATTAACATCAACATGTAGCTTGCTTCACACTCGTGTTACTGTTACACTAAGTTGTGTAAACATATGATATGCGATGACACGTGATAGGCTCTCTGCATATTACATTTTCGATAAGTTCGATCTTTTCATTATTTTACTTTATGGTCATAAGTATTTGGAGGGGTCAAATGGGCTTCAATTTATTTTCTATATGTGCATTTCAGATATTGTATGTTATTTCGGGTTGATTTAATTTACATTACAGAGGAGATGCTATCGAATTTTTTTGTAAATTATCGTGTGATAGTTATCTTTCAATGTAGTTAGAAAGTCCTCACTTATTGAAGTGACTCAGACTATCTGCAACTCATCGTATCTCGAAAACTATTTGTAAGTATTCATTTGTTCATGGCAGTTCATATTTTTTTAAGACAATTCATAAATTCTCGTCGTTGGCTATTTATATGACGTTTGACATTCATTACTTTATTTTTTGATTTGTTACACGATCATTTTCAATCACACATTCAAACAATAAAATATTTTATACGCATACCAATTTTTTTTTTTACTTGTTAATCACATATTTTCCTAAAAATCACTATTTAAAACCTTTTTCTATGATAATGGTTGTCTAACAATATTTTAAAATCTAACTAGCACATAAACGTGCAACTTGGATTTGAATGATTATTGTTGTATCTATAAATTATGTGGTATGCACATGACACATGGAGTCCCATGTTGACCTACTCGTCATCATATTAATTGGATTGAGCCAATTAAATCAAGAAATCTCTTCTTGGATCGGGGCTTGAGCTCGTTCCACTAATCCATTTGACCCATTTCTTTTTCTCTCTCTACATGTGTAAATTCATTTCACTCAAGGTGTGTATTTTAACCATAGTCGAATCCTCCTTACCAGTCTCTTGTACTCATTCTTTCTCATCTGATTGTTGATTTGACTGTCAAAGTGCAAACGATCATATGACATTTTTCTCGATTGGTGTCCTTTGCACCTTGACAATGTGTTCCAATGCGCAACTAATGCCTATGTGGATGGGAGGTGACCAGATTTTGTTGGCCACGTGTCTAGCCGAATTTTGAAATTAACAAAAAGTATAATCTTATTAACAATATTGTCTGGTTACTTATCATTCTCACATTTTGTAAATATATTACAAAGAAACACCTCACGAAAGAACTAATTTATCGCACTGGCACTGCCGTATATGTACGCGGTTAACCAATTATACGAATACCACATAACCCATTAGTCGTATTCTTCTCTTTAAAAAAAAAAAGGAAAAAACAATCACAATGGTTAAATTTGACAGATAATTTTGAGATGCAATTATTAGTGCAAAATGAGTGGGTAAATCATTATTTAAGTTAGAAAATAATTTTCTCTAAGAAAAATAAACAAAACAAGGATAATTTTACACATAGCATTCGATAAAATTAAATGAAAAATAAAAAAAGCATTTGTTATGAAATCTTCGAAGGGTTAGTTTTGAACTCCTTGTGTACATGAGATTGTTTATTTATTTATTTATTATTAGATAAAAGCAAGAAAGTAAATAAAAGAAAGACGATTATAAATTTGTTTAAGAGAAGTTTATGCCCGAGGATGTCAAAAGAAATTGCACATTGGATAGGAATATATAGATATATAATTTGAAGAAAATAAACTGCATACATTTCTTTTTTCGATCCAATCGAGTTGAGATCGGACGAATTTAGTAAGTTTATGCAAAGTCATCCACTTATATTGTAGGTTGAATTGAGCCCGATCAACCTAATAGGTTGATAATTATCATGTAAATAAGGTTTTCTTCAAATAAAATAAAGATAATCAAAGTTTGCCTAATAATTTATTAAATCCCCGAAGACTATTTATATCGATTGTAACTCCCTAAAAATAATATACTAACCACACCCTTAGCAAGGGCAAAACTGGAAACTAAACACTGTGTCCGAATGTACGACAAAAGTGCAGATAATTTTGTCTAAAATCCCATCAAATACCTTCCATGTCTTTTCAAATCCCGAGGTCGATTCAACCTCACGAGTCACGAATATTGGCCGGGCCCTCTATAATTTCAATAAAGATCCTTATATTCCTATAATATACAAAAAGGCCCTCAAAGAATTTCCTGACGGAATTACCCCTCAAAATGTGGACCCAACAATAACTTCTCTCTTTTGACACACCTCCCAAAGGGGTTGTCGGGTTGATGGGAGTTTGCCTTTTCAAGAAACTCCACAACAACTCCTCCAATCGCCATTTCTGTATGGAATTACCATATTTGTCCTTTACATAGTTTTTGTTGACTGCTAGTGTGTTGGCTTCCTTTTTTTTTTTTTAAAGACATATTTTTCTCTTTTAATTTTAACCACATATTTTTTAATAAAAATAATATTAAGCTAAAATAAAAACAAGAAGATTTGCATGCTGATCAACAATCCAGAATTTGTATTTCTCGAATCAACCAAAGCACGATTGATTACAATCCACAAGTCTATAAATAACAAATAACCTATACATACAAAACATGAATATAACAATGCAAAATATCCAAAACGGATTGTACAACCTGATCACTCAAAATGGGAAATCCCTAAAATGCTGGAATACCTATCTGGAGGAATCAGAAATTCAATGCACACCACTGCAGATAGCAACGAGAGAGAGAACGGTCAGCTGCACAAGGACAAGTCGTGTTTTTCACCTTCTTACGTTTTCTCAAACTTTGAGTTCTTATCAAAGTCATCCTCCAAGTTATGAATTGATGAATACAGTCCTTTAGTTTCAAGTTTATCTAAACATAAATAAAAAAATATTCTTTATTTTTTAACCACACATCCTCCATCAAATCACTGTTCAAAAATGGGGTTCAAACAAGCTCGTACATCTCATTTTAATTGCAATAACCTTCTTATTTTTTGTTTCTTTAATATGTGCGTGACAAATAAATTATTTTACACTCTCAAAACAAACTTTTTAGGGAAAATATATCATCAACGATTTGGTATGATAATTATTAGAAGTCGATGATAAGAATGAAACGAAAAATAAAATTTTTGAGTCCGAGTCCCATTTTTATAAAGATTTTAAATATCAGGACTTTGGAAGAAAAATAAATTCAATGTGTACTTAAAAAGTCGGAGGATGAAGCTACAATTTTGTAACCGAAAATTTGTAACCATAGAGGCTCATTAGTCGCGTAGCAATTCTTCAAATATTTTACAATTTTCTTGTTCGCTGTTAATGTCCGGTTAGAGTTAATTATATATATTTTTTCTCACCTCGATAACTATTTTTTGTTGGAAAACAATACCACCCATGATATTAGGACCAGTCTTTAGATTTTTCATATTTGAGTCGAGCTTCTAGATTTGAACCCTTAAATTGTAATATGCATTCAATTGAATTGACTCGATTGAACCAACTATGAACATAAAGAAATTGCAATCCTTGTATAATAGTCCGTTAAAATTGCACTAATCTGTCTTATTTGTCGAAGTTCTAAAAAATATAAAAATTAACTTTTGGTTACTTTGATTTTCCACACCTTTTACTCGAGCAAACCGTCTTCTTTTATCACACATTCCAATGAAATGAAATGGGTATCACCGAAATTGAAAATAGAGATGAAATGGAGAAGTAGCATATAAATAAAATTAAGAAATGTATACAAACACAATATTTTTGCCACAACATACAAGAAAAAGTGAATCAAGATTTTTGGGTTATTCTTGAAAGTACAAAAAAGAAAACTAGAAACCCAAAAGGGGGTTGACAAGAAACTGGGGAATAGTTTGGGAAGTGACTACAAAGGAATAGGTTCAGAAACATAAATAAAAGAAAAAATTGTAGAAGCAAGATTGGGGTCTTGTGACTCGAGTCTTCTACAGAGGAGAGATGAGAGATTGAAATTTGGGTTTAATTTGGGGCTTTGGATCATTTTCATTGGGCCTGGGACTTTGGTTTTAATGGGGTTTTATGTGGATTAGGGCTTGTCTGCTTTAAAACGGGTCAATGTTAAAAAGGTCAAGAGAAGAAGAATTGACAAATTTTTGGGGCCCATTTAGGCAGCCTCTTAAGCATCATGTGAAGTCTGAATATGCACATTCTTTTTCATTAGAGTAATGTTATTCGTCTTCAGTGGGGATGAATACACAGTTTATGTGGCTTTAAATGGTAGGTTAAATGAAATGTAAAATTAAATGACTTATTTAATTTCACCTATCATTTAATGCAACATTGACACCATGACACTGTGTTTCCATTCCCAATATGGATGAATATCATTACTCTTTTCATTATATCCCAATTTGTGCTTATGTAAAATAGTAGTATCAAAATAGATGGATTGAGTGTATTCGACTTTAACATAGCAACTAGCAAGGCTCGCTTCTTGTGTTTTTTTAGCCTCCATTTAGAAAAAAAATTATAAATTATTTGTAAATGATCAAACTTCATTTTCAATTACACACTTCAATTGACTTACAATTACTAATCACCTACCGTTCATTTTTGTTTATAAATTATTTCCGAACAGAGGTTAAAAGCATGGGGGCTAGCCTAGATAGACAATGTAGCCCGATATTCGTTCGGAAAGAAAAACTTACAAGGGGCAACCGACCTATTTGGGGGAA